AATGACAATGGCGTTCACAGCTCGTGCTCATGACCATGGCCGTGAGACTTTCCAGATGCAGCTCGGAGCCACGCGAGCGTGAGTTGCGTGTCCGTCATCTGCCGGCTGCATGTTGGCCATATGTCCCCCTGCCCTCCAGTGTGGGACTTCTGACTCAGACCCCCAGCCCCAGCCCGGTCTCTCACAGAGTGACTACGTGGAGCGGAGGGAAGAGCCAAGACCACAGTTCCTTTGGCTGATGTCACTTCAGCAGGCCACTTAACCTTCCCACGGCTCAGTTTCCTCACTGTAAACAGGGGACAAGGACTCCTGTGGCATCCGCCTCACAGGCAAGTTCCTAAGAATTCAGTGGGTTTACCAACAAGATCTGGGGGGTGAGGGGGAAGGGTACTTTAAATGTAATTACTTCATTTTTTAAACCAACTTTCTCGAAAGCCCCCCCCACACAAATGAGCTAGACTTGTAGGGCTTTTCTGGTAAAGTAGGAGGGGAGCAGCATGCCTCCCCACGCCGACGACACCCACTGGGCCCTGCGTGCACAGGAGGGGAACAGAGACCCCCCACATACTACTCCTGGAGGGCTGCAGGCAAGGCATTGCCAGTTGCTAGACCCTCTGTCAGGAGCCCTGCTGGCACAGTGGGTTAGGCATTGGGCTGCTACCCGAAAGGCCGGTAGTTCCAGCCCCCCAGCTGCTCAGAGAAAGGAAGAGGAGGCCACTTGCGCTCCTGAAGATTTGCAGTCTCAGAACCCCCAAGGAGCAGCTCTGGCCTGCCCTGTAGGCACACTGAGTGAGAACCACTTGATGGCAGCTTTTTGGGGGGCTGGGGTGGGGTTGAGGGGCCCAGGGGCCACCTTCCTGAGCAGTCTGGAATATCTGGGCTCCCTGCGGCACTAGGGGGCCCATGCAGTCACTGTCCGTCTAGATGAGGCTGGGGCTCTGTGGGCCGGGTGGAAATGCTGGCCCTTGGGGGACGGGCGGTGAGCTAGTGGAGACTCAAAGAAGACCTGGTTTTCTGCCCCTGTGCGGCCCACAGAGATGGGGGACAGAGTCCCCAAGAAAGAGGGGAAGGGAGAGAAAAGGGGACAGCCTATGAAGGTGGGATGGTGGGCCTAGAGAGCTCAGAGGGGTTGAGAGACAGAAGGCAGCCCTCTCCCCGTACCTCCACCACGTGTGACGAGAAGCCTGTCTGGGACATCTCCAGCCCGAAGGAGGTTTCATTCTTGTTGGTGCCTGAAACGGAGAGACAGAGAGATGTTAGCTCCTGGTGTGCGCACATGGCAGCAGCTAAGCCTGTGGCTCGACCCCCCAGCTCCTCTTTCCCAGGGGCCTCTGCAGGGAGTGGGCTCTCTGGCTGGGAGCTTGTGGGGTGCCTCCTTGTAGCCCGCTCCCTTGTGCGACAGGCATGCTTTCCATAAGGCTGTGAAAACAGGAAAAGAAGCCAGAAAAAGGGACGGAAATACATATTTGATATTTTTTGCAGAAGGCGGAATTTCCCACTTTGTCCCCCCTTATAATTCAGCAGCCTTGGTGCCAGATGCCCTTGGGTGGTAACCAAACATCAAGTCTACCCTCAGGGGAGGGATTCGTCACCTTGGCCTATTTGCAGAAGGAATCCCAAATGTGCTGAAAACCCCTCCCCACATAAGAGTTCATCGCCCAAGGGGCCATTGTGAGGCTGACTTGGATTTTTAAGCTCTGGTTTGAGTGTCCAAACACATACTCATGTGTTCTGTTTACTGACACTCCATCAGTGCAACAGTCAGCACTCGGCTGTTTAACTGAAAGGTTGGCGGTTCAAACCCAACAGGTGGCTGGGCGGGAGAAAGGCCAGGCCACCTGCCTCCATGAATGGTACAGCCAAGACTCTCCCACGAGGCAGTTGTGCCCCATCACACGGGGTTGCTGTGAGTCAGTACCAACTCCTGATCTGCTTCCCAACATTTCCTGTTTGTTCATACGGGGGCTTATCTCAGTGGGGGCCTCCTCTGAGCTTTTGTTATGTGTTTTTCGGTATATGAAACCCAGCGTTGATGAATCTATAGGGACAGCAAGTAGAATAATGGTTTCGGGGGCGAGGAATACAGTGGGGGTGAGGTGGTGGTGGTGGTGGGGGGCGCGGGGGGGCTGGTGATGGTGTTGAAAAGTTGCTGATGTCAAGGAGTTCAGGAAAGAAAATGTTTTGAAATTGATTGTGGTAGCAATACTGCTTGATGTGATTGAACTATATGGGATACTGACAATAAAATGGTTTAGTAAACAAACAACTAAACAAAAACAATGTGAGTGCTGTTTATGGCGCAGTCGGGTTGGGCTGATAACCACAAGTCCAGTAGTTTGAACCCACCAGCCGCTCCATGGGAGAAAGAGGTGGCTTTCTACTCCTGTACAGAGTTACAGTCTCAGAACCTCACAGGGGAGGTTTGACTCTGTCCCACAGGGTCAGTACAGGAAGTGACACCATGGCAAGTGTGTTTGCTTTTGAGGTTTGTGTTGGTCACTCATGGTCCCCAGGGCACTGCGGGTGTCTCAGGATTGGACAGGGTCTTAGATTCCTTTTCACAGTGCTCTTGTGAGCACTCAAAGCCCAACATTGGAGGGGCTCACTGCTCCAACAGATGGTGTCAGGGAGAGACAGGGAGCTTCAAAAATTCCGGGAGAAATTCCATCATCTTTGAATTCCCCACCTGCCTCCGGCCACCAGAGCTTTCAGAAACCTCCTCCTATGTGCATCTCAAAGACAGAGTTTCAATCTCACACAGAGAGGCAACTCACAGGCACCCTGCCAACCTGCCCCCCCTCCCCAACAACACAAAACAATCCGGGCTTTGGGTGGCATGGGAAGCAGGGAGGGGAGGAATTGGATATTCCAGGCAGTGGGGGAGGGCCCTCTAGGTTTGCCAGATAAAATATAGGCTTACCAGTTAAATCTGCATTTCAGAGGAACACTAAATACTTCTTGTTGTATTCTATATTGGGTAAATCTGGCTAATCTGTTTAAAGTGACAACCCGTGTTCAAACCCCACGCGCTTCTTGAGCTCTGCGGCTTGCTGGGGTAAGCCACCTCGCTCCTTCCAGACTGTCCTGTCAGCAGTCCAGTGAAGAGGTGGTGCACACAACCACCTTGGGGGTTTGTCCGTAAAGCAGAGATGCCCGCCCCCCGGCCTGAGTAGCGCTTCGTTGTTGGCATTTATTCTCGAGGGAGGACACCTTCTCAAGCAGAAGCCCTGGTGGCTCAGTGGTTAAACACGTGGCTGCTAACCCAAAAGTTGGTGGTTCAAACCCACTAGCTGATGCACAGGAGAAAGAGGTGGCTCTCTGCCTCCATAAAGATTTCCAGCCCCCGACACCCTATGGGGTTGTCCTACCCTGTCCTACAGGGTCCCTGGGAGCTGGAATTGACTCGATGGCCATGGTGTCTGAGCCTTCCTTGTCAAGCAGAGAGCAGAGGTGGGTCAGTGGTAGAATGCTTGCCTTCCATGGGGGAGACTTGGGTTCGCTTCAGTTCTTGGCCAACGCACTTCAGATATAGCCACCACCCACTGGTGTGTTGCTATAATGCTTAACAGTTTAAGCAGAGCTTACACACCAAGACAGACTAGCAAGAAAGACCTGCTGCTCCACTTTTGATGAAAACCCTGTGGTCACAGAGGCACCGAGGCAGCTGGCAGCCTGCTAACCCACCCCGTGCTGCAGGCCGGACCTTGCTCTGTGGGGTGTACTGTGTGAGCCCCATGGGGTGGAGCCCTCCTCTCAGCATGCCTGACTCACCTTCCAGGCTGAAGATCCTGTCCCCCAGGGCATCGACTATGTCCTTCAGGGCCGCCTCGTCGGTGACTTTGAAGAAATGCTTGTCATCAGGGTCGCTGGCGATGTATTTGATTTCATTCAGAAAAGTCTCTGGATTGATCCCTCGGCGGTTGTAGTAGCCCAGGACCTGCCAGGAACAGGGGCAGGGTCGACAGTCCGGGACAGAGCACACATTTCCCCACCCTCAGACCCCCCGGGCCAGGGCGGTGGGGAGCCATCACCGCCCCAGGGGCCTGGAGCACCCCCATGCTTTTCATTTTGGAAGAGACTGCCTTGTAGAGGTCAGCTGAGTCACCTGTTCTTAGCTTAGGTGACGGGAGTGCATCCGGGGTGTTTTCCGTGGTTCCAGCACTTCCCCAGCAAAGGTGAAAACAAAATCCAAACCCCATTTTTGTGGATAACCCTGAATAGCGTAGAAAGAAGAGTCTCCACTTGATCTGACGAGAGGATAAAGCACGGAGAGGCTCGGCTTCAGGATCTCTCAGCTTGTTACACGGCCTGGCAGAGGCCTCCTTGAAGGCCCTGGGGACTGACAGCCGGGCCTCAAAGGGGCAACAGACGGCTCTTGGGTAGTCCGCAGCGGGGCAGGGGGTGGGAGGGCACTCACAGCCACTGCGTATCTGGTCACGTTGTCCTTCTCACTCTGCTGGATCACCTTCTCCAGGTCCGGGCTGTCGTGGGACTCGCCGTCCGTGATGACAATCATCACCTTCTTGGCCCCTTTCCTTCCTCCCTTTTGGAAAGCCTCGGAGCTGGAAGCAAGCACGGTGGAAGGGCCCGGAGAGGGAAGAGTTAAAATGGGGCAGCTCCTGGCTCTCTGCCAGGGGGGAGGCACAGAAACCAGGACTGGGTTTCCCCTGGGAAATCCAGCAGGCCTTGGGACCTTATGCCAAAGAAGTAGCAGATGGACATGCCCAGGCTAGTTTTTGGTCAATGGCTCAGATGGGTCTCATATCTGTCTGTGAACCAACCAGCCAGCCATCCACCACTGAGTCAATTCTGACTCATGACAACCCCATAGGCCACAGTAGAACTGCCCTTCTAGGGTCTCCAAGACTGCACGTTTCTCATGGAGGAGGCAGCCTCGTCTTTCTTCCTTAGAGAGGCTAGTGGTTTTGAACTGCTGACCTTGATGTGTGCAACCCACTATGCCACCAGGGTTCCCCTTTAGGATGCTAAAATTGCTGTTTGGGGGAAACTCTGGGATGAGACTGGGAGAAGAGAGGGTCAGATGGAGACCGCACGCAGTACTAAATCGTGGTTCAAAAAGCTGGCTATATTTTAGAATGACCTGGCTGTTAAAAAAGAAAAAAACCCAACAAAACAAAACCAAAAAAACCCGAAACAAAAACCCAGGCTCTACTTGGCCCAGAAATCAAAATGTTGGGGGTGTGGCTTGGGCATTTGTATGTTTCAAAACTTCACATCCAGAGTGAAGGGCTACCTCCCTCAGTACTGAGGGTAACTCCACACTCACCTAATGTGTCAAATGTGTGGGATGAAGTCTGACAAGGCTCTGATTTCTCCCTGGAGGACTATTTGGATTCTATTTTGGGAAATATTAAATATCAAATTCTATCAAAAACATTTGTCTTTCTGACTTCTTATTTTGTTTTCAATGCCCAAAGTAGGAGCTCAGCCCACTGAGAAGGGATCTTAGTTAAGGGGACTCCAACAGGGCTGATGCATTGACCTTCAACACAACAGAGATGCTTTTACAGCTGGTAACTGCTCTACCAGGCAAGAGGAACCATCCCTGGCTCAGTGGCCAACCATCCTCGAGCCTGAACGGGTCTGTGAAATGCAGACCAGAGAATGCCCAAGAGTCTGGCCAAGCAGGTAGAAGTTTCCAGTAAAGACATAAAAATGAATGTTGCTCTTGGCCTGCATGATTCCTGCAAGTCCTGACATGAGAGGGCCAGACGCTCCCCAGACGTAGGCTCTGTGATGCCAGGTTGAAGCCCGTCTTGGTGCCGCGAGGCTTTGGTTACCAGAGGCCTCTCTTGTTACCCGACAAGCTGTCGAACTGACGTGCATGATTTAGATGTTGAGGAATTCACAGAACCTGGAGTAGATTAGTCTAGAATATCTTCAAGAGAAAAATATGGCCTGCTCTTGTGTAAGATATTCTGGCTATAGGGAATTTTTAAAATTCACATTTAATTAAGCCATGGGCCATAGGGCTGCAGTGACACACACAGTGAGGGCAAATCTGAGGGCTTATATCTGACCCCAGCCCCCACACTCACTGCCGGCCAGTCTATCTGACGCAGAATGACCACACGGGACAGAGGAGAGCTGCACTAGTGGGTTTCCAAGGCTGTTCATCGCTACAGGAGTAGAAAACTCCACCTGCCTCCCACTGTGGGGCTGATAGGTTGGAACTGCCGAACTTGAGGTTAGCGATCCCACGGGTAACCCACCATGCCATCAGGCTCCTTATGTATGACCCCAGGGAGGGAGAACTCTGCTAGTCTCTCAAAGAAGATTCTAGATGCTTCCATAATTGTGGTGTCAGGCAAAAGAGCTAAACTCTATGCAAGAAAGTGTGGTGGGGGTAAAATAAGTATCTGTGAAGCCAAGGAAAATGCCATCTTTCTATGTAATGGAAGCGAGGCTAGTGAGACTTCACTTCACCTCTTTGGACATGTCGTCAAGGGGACTGGTCCCTGGAGAAGGGCCTCATGCATGGTAGAGAGTCAGTGAAAGAGCAGCAGACCCTCAAGGAGATGGATTGTCACAGGAGCTGCAACAATGTGAGCCGCAGGCTCCAGTGCAGCCATGGTGGTGAGGATGGTGCAGGGCTGGACAGCGGTTTGTGCTCTTGAGCAGAGGGTTGCCATGAGTCCGAACTGCCTCGATAGTACCTCACAACAACACACAACAGAAGAGTGTGAATATGTGTATAGATATTTAATAGTATGACTATTTGTATGATTCATCAGCTTTACAATTTTGATGTTGTATCATTGTGTGCTCACCTTCCCGATACAATCGCTGAAGACAAATGGGTACATAAGCAAAAGTGGTGAAGAAGGCTGATGGTGCCCGGCTATCAAAAGATACAGCGTCTGGGGTCTTAAAGGCCATCTAGCTCAGAAGCAACAAAGCCCACATGGAAGAAGCACACCAGCCTGTGCGATC